GAAATAAAAATAAATTAACGGTGCCTGTCACTAGACTACAAAAAGTTAATAACTCATTCAGGGGTCTTTGTGTGCGCTTCTACAATAAGGTCCCAAGCAAAATACAACAATTAGATATCATGCAGTTTAAATCTACTATTAAAATAATACTTATTAAAAAAGCTTACTATAAGGTATCCGATTATATAACAGATAAGAATGCTTGGACTTGAGATGATCCAGCAACTGGATAGGTGATTACTTCTTAACTCATTATATATCAACAATTATCTTGTTTCCATTATTATTAAATGATTATGTTATCACTATAAGACCATAGTTTTTTTTTCTCTCTTTATTTATAATGTATTGATCTGGTAATGGCATGGTTTTTGTAAATGTTATTACTCCTATTAGAGCTGGTGAGTTTCTTGCTCGTTCTTCTTATCAGCCAAAAGACGTCCTGAACGAGCGGTAGGGAAAAAAATGTTGGACGATTTAAAAGTACTTTTAAGAAGTCTATTTGAATAAAGATTATTTTGACTTGACTTGACTTGACTAAAGTCATAAATTAACTTAAAATACACCAACTTATGAGAACTGCTGAGTCACCGCGTTTCACGATCGTGTAATCTGTGCAGGTTATAAATTTTTCACAAATTTTAAAAAGCACCTGATACGTGTGTATACTATAGTTTAAATTACGCCGCCTCCACCAGGTGTTCCAGTACCTGTCCTCCTCACTGGGCACTGGGTGAAGTCCTTCAACTCAACATTCTGAAATGTCAATCGTTAGAAAACTCATGCACATGCTTATCACGAGCTCTTGTATTATATATTTGAATGCCAACCTTTTTACGAGAACAGTCACACAAATCAAACTAATGTTACATAAGTATCGCGAAGACAGGCAATGACCTTCTGAGTAGATGTGAATGCATCATTCGTTGCGTACGTTGCACTCCTCGCTATCAGGCCACTCAAGTTCATTATCTTAAAACAAACGTTAATAACTTAAATTACCGCCGCTTAACATTAATGCAGTAAATATTTACATATTGCATATTTTATTAGACGTCGGAGGCATGAATTAAAGAATAAGCCAAATCATTCTCTCTTTGTGCATGGCTCTGCATGTCATGTATGATGTTGCATAATTTTATTATCTTGTTCCTGCCTTTTCAGTTTGTTGTTTTTACTATAAAATAATATATTATTAATGCGCTTTATATTTAAATTAAAAATATGCAAAGGTTATTAATCTATGAAACTATTTTTTAAATATAGTTTAACTACGATAAACATCAATAATTTAGTTATAAATATGTAGTCATTATTTGGTTTACATATTATTCTACAATAGTAAGATGATTAAATAAAGCTATTTGTATCGTAAAGAAACTAACGTGTAAATGTAATTTATAAACGTCATTATCAATATTACGTGGTCGTTAACTTTTTATAACATCAAATATTATACATGCTTCTTTTATAATATTATCACAGCCTATAAATAAAAAACAAATAACCAGTGTATTGTCACATTTATCATGGGCATATTGTAAGGAACAAGTACACACGGCTGCAAGTCAGGTTAGCACAATATGTCAAAGTGCATCAATTGATTTTGCACTCTATGCATAAGGCATAAAAGTTAATTATAAACTTTGTTTAGTGCAAAAAATAGACAATTTTATACAGCCTAATGTGTTCTGCCGCTCTCATTAAAAGTGCAATGCAATAACTTGGTTTAGGCTTAGGCTACTTTTGAGCTAATAGCAATTTGTGCTATATATAATTTATGTTTGTTAAACATTAAACATAAATTATTTAACATTTTAATATATATATATATATATATATATATATATAAAGTCTTTAGACCTATTTTTTATTTTTGCAATTTAATTTTTGTTTTGTGTGTATGTTTGACAGTCACTACTGTCAATATAATCTCTATGAAGTAAATATAGAGCTCATTTTCCTGATCATGAATATGTAATTTCTGTAAATACAGCAGTGCTGTTGACTATACCTAACCTATAAACATTAAATCCCTATTAATTACTTCTGACATCCTTATTAATATGCACTATACATTAGTTTTATTTTTCTCTTTCAAGAGCTTCCACTCCATGGTTGCGGGTATCTCTATAATTTTAATAAAGATCATAAAAACCCGCAATTTAAGTTTAGAAGCTTACATGAATGAATAGTCGATTTTTTTTTTTACAAAACAGATTACTTCGTTCACATAAAATCCTTTGCCGGATAGGTAGACAGAGGCACGTTCTTTTCACACGTTTTTCTATCCCTCTCCTCTTTTATTCTATTTATTTATTTAATTATCTGTACACAATTGTACAAAAGATTTTATGTTTTAGGCATTTTCTGCCACTAAATTTTATGTATTCTGGAAATTAAAATAAACGGTAAAAATAAATACAAACACCCCCAGATACCCTCTATAGTAATTATTCAAAAATGTTTTTAAACTTTCAAAGTTGTTTTATTTAATTAAGAGTGCGCGTGAAAATATAAGAAATCAATATATAGGTATACCTAGGTATTTTCCTACTTGCTGGGAAGCTCATAGGTTAACTCGATAATCAATCAATTGAGCATTTAATTCTTTTGTACATTAATTCCACAATAAGTTAGCGCCTATTGTCCGTAAATGGATATAACTTAAATGTTGACCTTACAGATAGTGATCATTTTATCATAAATTTTAAATCTAGATTGAACGAGGCAATAAAAAGTCAGTCGTTCATCCATCACTGGTGTTGCGTATCTTTGGATGAATATTAGATATAGTATAGTCAGCCAGCTAGACATCAAATACATCACCGCCTACGTTTGACGACTTCGTTTTATATCTATCTATCTATAGCTTCACGCCGTATCTCTGGTCTGTTATATCATTCCCATTATTGAACGCTCACATGTAAACTGGCATCTATAGACAAATGTATTTATGTAAATATATATGATATGTATATAGAAAATAGGACATACCTCATTTTAGCCGCAATTTCGCAGTGAATATTCATTAGAGAATAAAGAAATATAAAATTATCGTAAATTCTTACACAAGTCTGTAAATTTAGACTCTGGAACGAATATCGGGAAAAAATAGTAACATAAACATTTTGAGCAGAAATTCCCATAAAATATGTAGAAGAATAAAAATGTACAAGTATAAGTAATCCTACCATTACAGACAACTAAAGATAAATGGGTAATTGATATTGATATTAAATATAATAATAATAATAAGCCTTTATTCAGGAACAATTAAATTTACATATCAAATATACTTTTAATTAATTAAATTTTATCCCTAGATTATCTTGTTTAGTCACATTATTTAATGTATGCTGATATATGTCGATATTGGATTATTAATTTATGTTAGAGTTTATATGTCAATTTTTTAATAAGTTTTTTCGTCGGTTATCTCTGTTTTCCTTTTGACATAGGCCTTCCCCAATCTCTCCCAATTTTTTTTTTATTTGATGTCAATCTAGTCCATGTCACTCCTGCAGTTTTCGCTAGTTCATCCTCCCATCATCTCCACTGCATCCCTCTCCTCCTTTTCCTATCTCTGAGTATCCAATTCAGTATTGTTTTACTCCACTTTTCTGCGCCTCTTATAACATTACCTGCCCATCTCCACTTTTCTTTTATTACCTTTTCAGTGACATCTATTAATTTGGTCTTGGCTCTAATGATATTGATATTAAATGTATGTAAATAAATAACTATAATATAATAAATAACAGTTATAATTTTGCATAAACCCAGCCCCGAGACTAAGATTATATTAATAACTTAGACAAACTTCTTCACACATTTTACAGGACAATAAAGCAATTATCTGAGAAGATAACAAATAAAGGAATCATTAAATACAAAATTCAGATAACGATTAGTTTTTATTTCCCTCGTGGAATATACGAAGCTTTTTATCGAATTACTTAATTACAATCTATTCATTATGGGTAGTAGTTACGCCTACCCGTTAATGGCCATTTTGTGCTCAGCCACCGGAAAATACCAAACTTTTTCATAGTACCTATTTGCTATTAATGAAATTACGTAAATAAGTATATATTACAAATGCTAAAACCCACTGAAGGTTACTGCTTATAATAAATTGTATAACAAAGATAAGAACTAACCGCAGATTAATTATTTCATTGTATTGTGTATCCGATTAATTTTCACAATTCAAACTTGATTGACCGTAAATGTGTGTAGGTAACTTTTTGTTATTTAATAAGGAACTAATTTCTTAATGAAAAATGCTTAAAATCCCCGGTGTTCCTGGTACTCTGAGAGGGGATACCAGGGATAGTGGATTGTAAAGCATTTTCCAATAAAGCATTGTGAATGCAATATTGATCAATTACAATAAAAGGGAAATAAGTTAACCTTCAGTATCCAATTTCAAAAAAAAGAGTGAAAAAATTTTAGTATTATGTTTATTTGTTTGAAATTTTTTTCCCAATTGGGATTCCCCATTCATAAAGGTTGATTTTGTTTTAAAAACCTCAAAAAAGTAGTATGTTGAGGAGCTCTATGGTGTCTGCAGTGCTTTTGGTTAAACATTGCAGACCGAATTCGTTGTTAAGCAACTTTCACCAGAGCCGAGCTTCTCCGTGCTTCACGAGCCATGTTAAGGTGTTGATCCCTACTGCATCTGCAGAACACCTACCAATCAGCACTGGGCCGGGTGGTTGGTTGTGGCCTATTATGGCTATTGGATTCTATTAAATTCCATCCGTAGGAAAGACTTGTACCCCAGCAATGGAGAGATTAATGTGCTATATTTGATGATGATGTACCCTGCCCTGTACGATTAAATTTGTCATTTTTTCATGATGACACGTATTGATTGAAACTTTCAAGCATTTCTTTAAGTTCTAAAGAGACAGAACCCCATAAGAGACCGGTGGGTGAAATATTACGGAAAAATATCATTGTGGTAAATTTGCATTATTTTCTTTTTGTTTCAGCTTCGGTCTTTATCACGACACCGAGAAGATCGGGTGCCATCGTCGAGAGGGATCCACGCTTCATATCATGACTCCCATCTTTGAAGCAGATACTGTACTAGTAGCCTGGTCAAGGTGCAGCAAACGAGATGTCACAAACTTCTTAGAGTAAGTCAACTTAATATACCTACAAACGCCAAACTAAGAGCTTTTAAGACATATACATATTACTACTAGCTGTTTTCATACTTAACCTACGGAAGGTGTGTAATTTAATTTATTGAACTTCAATGTTGTGTCATGTAGAGTCGAGTTCGATGTTGATTTTATTACTTAATATTGGCTACTTACAATGATTGTCTACGGATTTTGTACGTAATGCAATAAAATATTTAATAAATAAAATTAAACAACTTACAAAAAGTAAAATGGTACATCTTAGATGGATGAATTCTAAAGATTTATGCAAGTTGTTTTCAATTTATTATTGAAATAAGTTGTGTTCTTTTGTTGTTTTACTTATACGTACTATCTTTTATAGTGTCCCATGATTGACCGATATTGTACTCCAAAAGGTGCCAACTCTGTAATCGTATTAATATATAATGCTTATAAAATTATAAATGGCTATCACAATAAAACTGAAAGTAATAATATGCCTACGTAAAACCTACGCGCCTACTTTAAAATTATTGCGTGTCACACGTCGTAGGCTTTCAAGGCCGAATATCATTTCTAATAATATAATGTTATAAAACTTCGCAAAAAAGAATACTACGAAATTCTATTCATTCAAGACAACAATTCATTAGCATTTTATGCATAAAAAAAACGATCTAGTTCGTGTCAGACTACGCAGTGTACTTGTTTTACAGAAGTAACTGCTTCATTCAAATAATTTTCAATGCAAGTTATGCGGAATGATTTTTAGGATAATTTTATTGAGGATCGTTTAAAATTTTGTTTTAAATCTTTGCCAGTGTAAACTAAGAGTTCGATTATAATAATGACTTAAGTGGGTTATAATAAGATATGATTAATATTTTAGATTTATGTTTATTTTTTTTTCAGTGCCGGCATGGGGGAATGTTTAAGTGACAGACCGTCCCAGGAAGAATACTACATGTACCCAGAAGTGCCAGCAGGTATGAAGGGAGAAATATAAAATAATTTAGGTATTTAAGGCTATAAATTTAAGATGTGTTCTGTACTCTGTAAAGAGATTTAAATACCATTTTTGTCAAGAAGTCTTTATTATATCATCAGTCTATTAATTTCATCAATTTTGGGACACAGTAGGTATTTAATATTGATAGTGTCATTTATAGACAGATCATAACTCATACGTAACTCACGCAAGCTTAGCTGTAATGAAATAAAACTTATATTACCTTGCGGCTCGTAAGTGATAAGACAGCAAATGCTCGTGGCATCTTTGGCTTGACGTACATTTCAAAGAATGTTATAGTAGCAAAATTTTGGCCTCAACAGAATGAATGATCTTTGCGGAAGATAAATACGTACGCAAACGCTGTCTATCAAATTCCACAATAAATCTTATCTATTAGTTAAGACTTTTGTGCAAGAAGTCTTATTTATAAAACCAATGTTGATACTCAGGCGTGATGTTCGACGCGGCGACGCAGTGTCACCTACAGTTCGGCGCGGAGGCAGTTGTGTGCGCTAAACCTAGCGAGCTGTGTGAACATCTCTGGTGTCTCGTCAACAACACCTGTAAGACAATGCTGCGTCCCGCCGCACCAGGCACCACCTGTGGCCCTGACATGGTATGAATTATCATTCATATCAGGCTTTGTTGCGTTTAAAATGGCTTCAGCTTCAACACTCTTCAATGTCGATGAGAATCGTTACATTCTTGAAAAATGTGAATGTGCCTACGTCTCTTTTTCATCAGACCAGAGTTTTTCTAAAGAGTTATTTGTAATACCCACGCTAGTTATTATTTCTATAAAATTGCTTCTCAAGAATACCTCGAAATTGTCGTAACGTAGGTATGTACAACAAAAGTGCTATAAAGCATAAACAGATGGTATTATATAGCTAGGAATGTGCTCCCTGACTCGTCTACTATCCGTAAGACTTGTTTAAGGCGTAGTCCTTATTGGCTACAATCATACGAAAGATTTTGCCATATGATGCTAAAGGTCCCATTGTTTTAATTAGGTAGGCGTTATCGTGCTACCATAGTTTACGATAAGATCCATATCACGCGACGGTTTTCAGACAATTGTTAGCCAGTCACAGTAGAAGCATATGATGCAGTCTCGTGTCATGTTACAGTGGTGTCAGAACCAGACGTGCGTGGCTCGCACCCCCTCTCCCGTGCCCCGCGACGGTGGCTGGGGCCCGTGGAGCGAGTGGAGCGAGTGCTCGCGCACGTGCGGCGCCGGCGTCTCCACGCAGTCGCGCGAGTGCAACAACCCTGAGCCGCACAACAGCGGCAGCTACTGCATCGGCGACAGGAGTCGGTGAGTACACACTATCACCACTAAAACCATTATTCGCAAACTATCACATATTGACGATCACAGTGTGCATGTTACCTAATGAGGCAGAGGTTATATTTAGCCTGCCCCGTGCGAATCGGCTTATATTTAGTATGTGAATTATTATATTAGCCGCATCCTGCGTGTCGAGCATAAATACCTACTTTCCCACCCGTGGCGTGAGCTAACTACCGCATTCCTTAATTGTTTTCAGATACAAGATCTGTAACACAGAGCCGTGCCCCATTAATGAACCGACCTTCAGAGAAGTGCAGTGTGCCCGTTACAACAACAAAACTTATAAAAACGTCACTGTCGCTGAGTGGATACCGTACTTCGATCAAGGTAAATAAAAAAATGTGCAACCTCCTCAGTAAAGCACAGGTTTCAAAAGTTATTATGATTTCCTATAAACAGGTAATTCCTGCTATGATCATACGATATCTATAAAACAAGAACTAATTTTACAATTATGACAAAACTTGTAGGTATGAAGAAAAAATTAACCGTGGAGAAGTCTGAAATCTTTTGGACACAGACTTATTTAAAATTAAACAAAATCCAAGAAGATCAGCTTGAAGCTCTCGTATTGTGAAGAGTCTTGACAACGAAGTCACCACAAAATCCAAATTAGAGACAATATAGTAAAGTTCATTTTCTACATTGACCGGTAATAGAAGCCGGGCCGAAGCCCGGGGCGTCCCAGATGGCGACACTTTGAAAGGCATGCAAACACTTGGCTACTTTTTCGTACTCTTTACGTACCTTCCACTGATATTTAGGATAATTTGTAAATAAAGTAATTTTATTGTAACAGATAGGCCATGCGAGTTGAAATGCGTGCCGCGCGACGACAGCGATCTGGAGCTGATGTCAGCGGCGTTCGTGGCGGACGGCACTCCATGCCGCCAGAGCATCGCCGCTAGGGACATGTGCATCGCCGGTACTACCACTATACACTCAATCACGCTATATCTGAATATTTTTCTAATACAAAACTAGACTTAGGTACATAACCAACTTTTTAACATTGGAAGACGAAAGCTTTTAATACCATAATTTAAAACACGAGCAATGTTCACCGAACTACCTTTTGAACCATACTCGTAAAAACTCAGGGAGGAAAAGACCAACCGACATCAGTCTTTATGTTCCTAGAAGTTCACAATAGTTTTTTTTTTTTGTATTTTTTATCAACTCTTAATTTTTCCACTTTTTATTTTTGTTATCTTTAATCGTTTATCGAATTTAGCTGCGAGTTTTAACGCCATTACTGCTATGTCATTTCCCGTGGTTTAATTTTAATCAATTCAGTAATTTCAGAGCCTATTCGATGCAAACAAACAATCAAATCCTTTCTCCTTATAATATTAATGTTAATATCACACTTGTCTCATTTGAATTAAAACGAGATTATTCAATTAATATGTGTTCGCAGGTGTTTGCTACAAAGTAGGGTGCGACTGGGAAGTGAACTCTGATGCAGAGGAGGACGCATGCGGAGTGTGCGGCGGCAACGGGTCCGCCTGCAAGACTGTGCAGGGCATCTACAGCAAGGGTACCACCAAACAATCTGGCTTCAGCGAGGTGAGCATTATTACGATACGCAATAAATATACACCACCAAAGTATCCCGACGATGACTGCACCGGATTAGTACATTCTTTCTACGATTACGAAAGTTAAGGAACTTTCGCAAAGGCCAGTCTTGGTATGGGTGACCAAAATTGTTCTCTAGATATCCTCATGCTTCAAAAGACACGTCGAGCCGTTATTCTTGGCTGCATATGCTTCTCAGTGTGCATCAAGTCGGCAGGGTGGATTGAGGCCCTTTCTTTCAATTCCATTGCACCTAGTAATTTCTTTAAGTTTGCCTCAAGTCATTCATTGATTCAACCAACCTATATCTTTAATAGAAATGTAATACTTTTTGTTACAATAAATATATTTATGTTTATAGGTGGTAGTCATACCAGCCGGGTCCAGGAACGTAAGAATCCAAGAAAAAGTCAGCCCAGGAAATTATATCTCCATAGGAAGCGCGAAATCAAGAAAGTTTTATTTGAGCGGAGCACGGTATGAGTCGTTTACGTCATTGTTTTTATGTACAATTAATAGCACGTCAGATTTCTGTAATCGTTTTTGAAGTTGGAAGACGTAGTAATAAAACCTTTCGAAATATGACATAGTTTTCTCGTTTTAATTTTAGAGCTTTTTAGACTTTATTTTTAGCAATACCCCTATAGAAAATTGTTTTTGCATGCTTCCGCTTAAGTCTTAATTAGTTAACAATTAAATTCGAAATCAATTACAAAATCAATTATTATTATTATTATTCCTGTATTTACAATTTACTCTTCCCGACCCCTCGACGCTTCGAGGGGTAGTATTCCCCCCGGCAGAGGAGGCCGGGGGGAATATTATTATTATTAAAAAAACTTTTTGATGCCGAATTGATGAGTTGTTGTGTATTGAGAGTTTGGAATAATGTTTAATTTCGAATATGTATACAGGAATGCTACTTTTACCGAATACGTGGCGGGAGCTCAAGCGATCTACGAAAGAGATCGCGATTGGGAAAAAGTGCGAATTACTGGCCCGATCGAGGAAGATATCAAAGTTTACGTAAGTAAAATGTTAAAATAGGAAAGCTAATTTATAAGATCCAATTGCGTGGAATTTTATTACCTATATCCATATATTACGTGTGCAGCGATTGACTATTATGAAATTTCATTTAGCCTCATTACGGAATAGAATTGACAAAAACGTCTAATTCAACATTTAATGTTTTCTTTTTCAAGATGATCAGAGGTTCTCATTTAAGTTAATCGACTTTAGCGTCATCATCATTTCCGGTGACATTAAAATTTATATAAACATCCTCAATTTTGATGTCTCAAAATGACTCACACGTTGATGGATTCACCTCATTAGTTGAAATATGAGAGGAGTTTTTAAATGTTTACAAGACTTTCATAATGCTGCCACCACTCTACAATCTAAGCCACTAGACTATAATACCAGATACTCAAATAATTTCAATAAATATACATATACTCTAACTACGTTTATCAATTTCTATTTAGATAATTTTCACCTTTCCGTTTAGAATGTACAATTCCCAAAAAGCCCAACAGTTTTTAACTGTCCAATTCCCGAAATATCCAATTCCAAAATGGTCCAATGTACTATCATGATGGGTTTGTTGAATACACAGAAAAATAATATATAGTCAGGTTATTAATGTTTAATATTGCATAGACAGGCTATGAGATATTCAAAAATCAAGCGACATATTATTTTCAGTGTATTCTACAAACCGTCTTGATACTAGATTGGACATTTAGGGTAACTGAACCTTTCGCGAATTGGATAGTTCGATATCAGACATTTTAAGAATTCGACATTCTGAACTGAAAGGAATCTTGAATGTTGATCAAAGTTATATTTTGCATATTCGCCTATGTGCTTTGGATCATAGATAAGTCGGACTTATGTGTAAGAGAGATAACGTATACTTACGTGTTGATCGTTATAATATGAACACAGTTTACACGAGTGGTGTATGTGTATGTGCAGCAACGTATATTCCGCGGTCGGCACCGTAACCCGGGTGTGACGTACCAGTACACGGTAGACAGCGCGCGCCGCCACCTCTACACGTACGCACTCTCCGACTGGTCGCCGTGTTCAGCCACGTGCGGACGCGGCATCATGCGCCGACATCTGCAGTGCCGCGACCAACAGGACCGTACGTAACGTATATACCGTCCATGCGTATTCTATGGCACTGATTATATTAGTCCTGTCCCACGTGATTTATTTTATACTAGTTTAAACGTGTAAATTAAACATGTAAATCAAATTAGAACAAATTTTCATCGTTATCGGAAGTTTAAATATTTGTAAATTATTTAATTCGGCTGTTTAAGTGGATTGCTTGAACATTGATGAAAGCACGCTCTGTAGTAGTGAAAAAGTAACAAGTGCTTGAAAAACTCGTCAGTCTGGGTGGTAAGTGCAGTCGCCCGGATTGCGAAAGGTCACGGGTTCGAGTCACATTTCAGAATGCCAGGGGCAAAGTGGATATTTTAAGCATTTTTCATTAAGAATATTTTTTTATATAGCATTGTGAATGCAAAATCAATCAAATATAATTATATATAAATTATTCTCTTGAATCACTATGTATATTGATCAAAACCGCATTATAATTGCAGTGGGAAACGACTTTTTTATAATGTACAGCTTCCAATAGTTCCACACAGTTAAAAAGTCGGCGGTATAATGGAGCGAATTTCATCAAATTCCAATGTCAAATCGACTGTGACAGTTCACTCACGAGTAATGCCCGTGATACCTGTAATGCATTAATTAATTTGAATTTATGTCTATATTTTTAGTCTCGTGGCGTTAGGCAGTGCGAGTTAAATATAACTGGACCCTTATTAGTGTACCTGTTATTATTATTATTCATTATTATTAGTAACAACCGTTTCACTAATTAGAGCGAGTTTTGTGTTCCGCAGAGATTGTGGAACTATCGCAGTGCTACCACATCGAGCCACCGCGTCACGAGGCAATGATGCAGCAATGTCGGCTGCCGGCCTGCCCGCACTGGTGGGTGGGCGCCTGGAACCCTTGCTCGGAACCCTGCCACATGCCGGTCAGTATATCTCACACTGACAACGATCCGCACAGAGTAAGGCAAGAAGTCTCGACTTTCAATTAGAAGGCTTCTTTATTTTGAAAGAGCGAAATAATCTTTTGAATCGTACATATACCTAGTTACAATTTGCATTTTAGTAATCATTTTAGTCTTGCATTTTAGTACCATATTTTTTTTTTTTTTTTTTTTTTATTAAAAAAAAAAAATTTTTTTTTTTTTAAATATGTATACCTCGGGCAAACATTGCAGTTAGGTAGAAACAACTTCGAGAGCGAGGTAAATGGAAGAGTTCGGCTAGGTTGGGCAGCGTTTGGAAAACTACGTCAGGTCTTCACATCGTTGATCCCGCAGTGCCTAAAGACGAAAGTCTTTAATCAGTGCGTCCTACCCGTTATGACATACGGAGCCGAAACGTGGACACTGACGGCACGGCTGGTCCACAAATTGAAGGTCGCTCAGCGGGCTATGGAAAGGGCTATGCTCGGCGTTTCTCTGCGGGATCGAATAAAAAATGAGGTGATCCGGCAGAGAACCAAGGTTATCGACATAGCTCACCGGATTAGCAAGCTGAAGTGGCAGTGGGCTGGCCATATTAGCCGCAGAACCGATAACCGTTGGAGTAAACGAGTTCTTGAGTGGAGACCGCGTCTCGGCAAACGTAGTGTAGGACGTCCTCAGGCGCGGTGGAGTGATGATTTGCGCAAGATGGCTGGCACGAGCTGGATGCGAACAGCCGAAAATAGAAGTAGATGGCGTGCAATTGGGGAGGCCTATGTCCAGCAGTGGACGAATATGGGCTGATGATGATGATGATGATGATTTTAGTACCTGCGGCAATTAACGCCCATCTTTGGAATATCGCGCTAATACACTTCTATTACTGTTGAAATTACAAAAACGGACCTTATTTACAAAGTGGGACTTAATTGCCACAGGTATCTTTGTACCTAGAGGGAAGCTTTCTTTCCTCATCGTCCCGTGTAATTTTCAGTAAATTATTCAGAAGCCCTTTGTTAACGCCATTGTTATATATTTTTTTAAATTCAACTGCATAAATTGGCATGGTCAGAAAACCCCTATTTTATTAATTATATTCTCAATCAATGAGGAAATTCAATTATTACAAAATAGAAATAGATACTCATACAAATTATTTTTTAGGGCAAAGAAGCGACAAAAAAACGCAGCGTATACTGCGTCGACAAAGCATCAAACGGCGTCGTCGAAGATTCAAAATGCGACGTGGCAACCAAGCCGATTAGCGTTATAAAATGCGCAGACGCGCCGGCATGCTGACGGCCCACGACACTTCACACGATATGGATCAGTTACCCAGGAAATCAGTCCAAATAACATATGAAATACGACGCTAAAGTATAAAACTGAAGTGATTAAATAACACCTCTCGGATTGCTTTGCAAAATCAAGTAACCTAGAAATCTTGAAAGACGTTGGAATTTTTACTTTTTTTATCAAGCATGGTGATCTAATTTTGCCCAAGTGTGTGCATAGCCTAACAACCGCGGATCAGTGTGTATATTTTTTAATTCCTTGTAATACTTTCATATTTATATAAACAAAGTTTCAAAATTATTTATCATGCACGCAAGTGGACTAATATAACTTGTTCTGTAAGAAGGAAGTATTACAGAAGAAATTCGCGTATTCAGGCCGGTGATTTGTGTTACGTTTATATTACAATGAATGAAGTAACCCATCGAATATTTAAATATTACACGTAAGAACTCGAATATAGCTTCGTGGTGACGTGCGAATCTCGCAAGGACAATAAGTCTTCTGCAATTACCACTTACTGCCATATTACATAAGTAATGTCTAGTTTTAACATAGTCTCCACATAGTTATTATTAACTACTAATTATATTATTCAGTATTAAAGTGGTGTATGTAATTCTTGGAAAATGCAAACTTATGTGAAAGTGTTTATATAGGTGTTTATATAAAATTGGACCAAAAATATTATAGAAATCAAATTCACGTTGCCATAATCACGGTTACTGCCAATATGACACTTGTATTATATTAAGTTAATAATACATTAAGTTAATTCTAAGTTAACATAATTATAATGCTAATAAAATTATCAAAATAAGATATTTAAGAATAAAAATGTAGGTACATTATCCGTTTGAGAAAGAACTTGAAACGCGATAATCAAATCAGCTAGTCAAATATGTATGAAATTTCATTAACTCACCACAAATAATATCGTTTTTAAGCTAATAGCAAATTTTTGATACTTACATATAAAATTAGAATTATTATAATTTCAAAGTGTCAAAAACAACCCCTGTACCTACTGCATTTAACAAGGCATGTAAAATACTTATATATTTCCTTATTATATGTATAAAAGATATTTAGGTGTAACTTGGACACAAAATGCTATAAAATATTGTATTTAAAAAAAATTATAATCCTATCTTACCTGTGACTATTACACGTGACTATGCATAATTTTGAATATTTAGTTAAAATGTCTATTTATCTCAAACCTATTCTTAATTAAGTTATAATCTTGTAAATGATATATGTATGCCACGCACTCATGTCTCAGTTCTAAGATACATTGTGTGGTGGCAGTGAACTTGTCGAACAATAGATACACAATTTTAATTTGAACGTATGAGCTTTTGACTAACTCACTTGTTATAAGTATTATACATTAATTATACTGAAAGTTATAGACAGCATCACACCGATGTAGTAATTATAATTGTGTATTTAATTAGACATGGCAATAAATCGTGCATCGTTATACTGGATTCTTTATTTTAACAGTCATTTCCCAATATTCCTTCGACTAAATAAATTATTATTGAATTGCACTCAACAGCAATTTGTTTAAAACTAATAATTTTAAAATTATGAATGAAACGAAAAGAACATATAACTACATCTATTGTGAAAAGACGGTATTTATTTTAAATAGATCTACAATGAAAATAATGAATGGTTATTTAAACAAATGAAACATGATTTATAAATAATTTGTTCATATTTTATTTTGCGGCTAAATTTATATATAAATGATGAACATAAAGATTAAAAAAATTACAAAAATGCAATAAATTTAATTAACTACTTACGATAGTCACGAAAACAATACGGAATAATTAAATGGAATGAAATTTTATATATAATAGGCCATTCAATTATAGTTAAAATACGCATATAACATTAAACACAGCAAGTCATCACAAAATATCATTCATTCATAATTAATTTTAGTACTTAAAACTTTAAGGTTTAAAATACATTGGAAAAAATATTCAGTTTTAGGCAACTAGTAGCTCAATTCGGCTAATGTCAACATAATTATGGCGTGTCAGTGGCGTCTCAATTATTTTTGTTACTATATCACAAAACAACAAAAGAACCGTCATCATTGATTCATCAACACGCTGTTGTGGTGTCAGATATATAAAGCAATGTGAAAATGCTATTTATTGAAACTGTTATTGTAGTACGTCATTACATTAACATTAACAGAATCGAGGCCCTGATGTCATTATGCTATATAATACAGTTGCTATAAAATAACAATACGTAATCCACAATTTATTTCCAAATTAATAATTAACACAATAAGGGGTCATCCATAAATAGCGTCACATTTGTTTCACGATTCACCCCTTCCCCTTTCTTGTCACATTTGTGAGACACTGTCCTTATTGTGACGTGCTGTTAAAAGGTAATGTCAGAAGTCATAAAAATCAACGAACATGTATGAAAAAAGGTATGACTTTCAAGAAAGCGAAAGTATGTAAGGCCGGTGCCTTGTGGGTCTCGATTTTCTATGCCCCGCGAGGAATCCGGCGTGAAGATATAGATTAAAAATAAATAGAACATTTTAAAAGTTCAATAAATTGACACTTCCTCCGTAATATATGATATAATTCAAAGATGACCCCCTAAGATACACAGCGGAACTGCGCGTGCACCGGATTCCGCAAATGACTGAACTGATGATTACAATGTAGTTTTACAGAATAAGAGTTATTGACACCGTTTAATTTAAAAAATTAAATATTTGTTACTCCAGAATTAGTAATTATCAAAATCTCTTTTTCTGAGCTCCAAAACTCTTCTTCTTAACTTTATTGGCACTTGCGTCACCACAATACTGCCAACTTCACGTAGGAGACCATTACACGATTTAAATACATTCATTCAACCAAACAATTTTGAATTACCAATTCTATCTTTCTACATGGATTTACCAAAAACAACAACGTTATTTAAGGAATTGTTTTATATAAAGAATCATTTAATCATAATCATTTTGAGTCTTACCACAGACCATTTCAAAATTAACTAATTGTGATAAAGTAAGTGAGCGAAAGATAACACCACTGATATTAAAGTTTTAGTTGATTAAAACTAAAACTAAAGTTTTAGTTGATTAAAACTAAAACTAAAGTTTTAGTTGATTAAAACTAAAACTAAAGTTTTAGTTGATTAACACTCTAAAACTCGGGACGTTATAACAATGTATCTGTCATTGTCACTCGTGAGTCATCATAAGTCATAACCAGTGGTCGGAATTAGGTAGAGTTATTCATGTACTTACACTGATTCCATACAGCGAAAGAATAAGGTGGATATGCCTCAAATCCCGACATTAATTTTAAAGAGCAGAAAAAATCCCGTTTTTTTTAAATAAAAAGTTATTTACTTTTACACAATTTAAACTACTGCACGCATGACGTTGCCAAACTTACATCAATGAAAGAAAGAAGAAATAAAGAAATAAATAAATCCCGGGAAGGTCCACATTAATATCAAAATCTCGATGCATAAGTACATAAATAACTCTACCTAATTCCGACCTCTGGTCATAACATATAACAATGATAAAAATGTTGAAATGTGAACTCCTTCTCAACGTTGTAAATTGGAGTAGAAAAAAACGTGTTTATTAATACCAAACTACATATTACTTCTACTTAATTGCTGTTAAAATAAGTATACAAAAGATACGTCATGATATAGCGGACATTAATGCATGGTCGTTTTGGCACCGAATTCAAATTAAAAATAATAAATTTTGATCATATCTTATCTATATTCTCTATAGATCTATATTTTGCAGAAACAAAATATTTTTATATACATACTTTCATTACAAAATTTTTGTTATATTGTCGATAACCCTATTCACGAGATCGAGGCTCCCGCCATCCGCGCTGCTCCCACTGTCTTTACCGGTAAAAATATAATATGAATTTAAAACATTTGTCAGTTTTGGATAACCTGATGTGCTGTTGTTAATACGTTAAGTCGATACCAAAACCAATTAGTGTCATTTATGTAAAACGTTCCTTCCATTACTCTCATACGTACAATAGTTCTTATAATATTTGAGAACATTTAGTACATAACATAGGTTCTGAATCAACACTAGTTACAAACGTATCCGTCGCAAAAAAAAATGCACGTAAAGTGGCACGGAAGTAAACCCAAATTTGGGAACTTTAATGTAAATTTATTGATACCCAGGACTTTCTATAATATTAATCCCCAGAACTTTATAGTAGCTTCTTGAACATATCAAACGTCTTATAAATAAGTACATATTTTTCACTTTTATACTCAGTTCACTTTTTTTAAAAGCTTATTTGCAGTCTTGTTTCAGTTTACGCAGGATTTACTTTCGTATCGGTTACTGAATTTTCTCGATCAGTATGCACTGTAAGATCACAAAAAAATCAATCTTGACTACTAAAAGAAGTTCTAGTGATATGATTAAAATAACTATGTTGAACTATTGATCAACGTCTGCAATTGAGACAAAAAAATCTAAGAAATGTCTTCAGAACTATCCGCATCTTAGTACCTGCAGTTGTACAACAATTACATAACATTATTCATAACATAACATGCAGCCCTTCACCTGTATGGAAGGAGTCTTAGAAACAACATGACACCGACTTATTTCTACACAACAAACACTTGCTTAATTAAAATAATATTCCAATCAATCTAGTCTTTCATGAAAAATGTGAAAATATATATCTTGTTCCTGAAGCGATCTCAATATAAAATTAAGTATTATTTACATTAGGCGGAGTGGACGCTTCGTAACGCCCTTAAGTACTTAGTGGAAACACACATCACGTTTTAAAACATGAATACACCCATAAAACATGGAATATCCCTAAAGTAGCAACATGGATATATTTATACTCACATATTATCTTACTTTACGAGCCATCCACGAGAATACATTACCAATAAAGAAAAAAATTTAAAATAACATTTTCCACTTAGTAGATATTGAAGTTTAATTGCACAATAAAATAAAGCCATTAAAAAAAACTAAAATGTTGTTCTTTTGGAATCAAATAATAACAAGAAATATGCCAAACATTCATTATAAGGTACTGTCGCCTAATAAGGCCCACTTTAGACAACTGGAGAGCTAAAGACCTAACTGAAATATTTAAATTAAAATCTTCTGATCCACTGTTCGGTCGATGCTGGACTGTAATTAAGACGCATTTTACTAGATGACTTTTAATTACTTAGGCGTTCAAAAAATATATCAGTGGGACTTATTAGACGACAGTAACTTATATAAGATATAAACTTTCATTTAATCATAAACATTAATCAATTAAATGTTAATCATAATTTGGAACGAAAAATATGTGCATATAAAACATTTATGTGAAAGAAGAGTCCGCACAATTGAGGCTCTTCAGTCGTGAGTAAACCTTACTATAATTTTCAAAACATTCATTAGAGAAATTGCCTCTTTAAATCAAATACATATATTAAATCAAATTTCCTACTTACAAGTTACGCAATGTTATAATTTAATAAGCCTTACTTTCCTTTGTCAAGGTTGCCCCTTTTTCTTCTGAAAAGGTAAAAAAAATATGTTTGCATTTAAAATTAAGGTATCAAACAAATACTTTTTCAACAAAAAGAAAGAAAAAACGGTAAACTGTATTACTTTTCATATATTTATTTCTATTTTTTTAATGTAATATTACGATTTAATTATAAATAATGATGCACCCAATTAACCAGTTCCTGCACTTGATTCTTTTGCTAGTAATGCTTCAGATGAAACATCAAAACGAATATTTTTCTTTTTTGTGTGATGCTTCTGAAAAAGTTTATGAGCTTCTCTTAATGTTTATTTTAATAATGAGAATACACTTAGGGTGACAAATTCGTAGGAAGATGCGTAGGGCGTGTCAACGGAACTATATGTAACAGATCTTGTACAGTCAAAAGTACGTAAGGCTATACAAATTGTCACATTTCTCAACTGGCAAAATCTGACATATTGTGGTAACCTGACGCCATGTGTACATGGCACAGCTTCGTAACAGCGCGGCGCGTCTAAGGGCCCTAGTAAACGTGGAAGCAGGGCTCGAAAACCTGGCTAATATTGTTGACTAGCTCGAAAGAAATTCCATACACTTTTGAGAGCCTATCCCTTTGGGTTTTGATTATTAAGAATATAAATTCTTTTGGTTCTTATCAGAGATAAAAACGGTTTCTGTTAAAAATGCCGTTTAATTTACTCACCGACTGTCATCTTTATTGTTTAAGGTGATTCCCAATGCTCGTAAATCAATTCTATTCCGACCGAGCATTTTCGAAAAACTAGGGTTTATAAATATTTACTAACCGGTCTTTTTCGAGAGCCTTACATGACATAGAGAACCATCAGTGGTTCAATTTTTTTCATAGTGGAATGCAGACATCAATTATAAATAAAATTTGCTTTTCTTTTTATAAACATGGAACATAAAGAAAGATAAAAAATACGAAAAAGTTCCGATTGATATTTTCGAAAAAGGAGGAAATTCGTGCATATCATGCTCTTGCAATAATCCACCATGCGCTCTTAGTACGCTCGACGCCCATCATGACGGATCATCGGTAAAATGTACAAAAATCAAGTTCTGATGTTACACGACCAATGAGACGAAACGCATTTTTCCTGAAATATGCACCATCCCTTAGTATATAAAAGTTGCAAAACTTAAATACCTTATCTTTACTCCGTGGATCTTGGGTGTTCTTGGAGCGTTCTTTCTCCAAATCAGTATGTAAAACTGCTATTTCGGCTGTAAGCTCTGTCTGAACTGCTCGTAAACGTTCTACCTCCACTAATACCTCTGCTTTGTCTTTCACTAGAATAGACACAGATGCCATAATATAGAAAAAAAAAAACTTAAAGTGACACAAATTAATCTATTTTGATAAAAAACACAGAATATTCCAATATGACGCGTGGTAAATCTTGCAGAGCAAGCTACCAATTCCAACGATGAGCGAACATATAATAAAAATTAAAAATAAATCAAATTTCAATAATAGTTAGGTGTAAAATATAACGTATTAGGTGTCGTCCATCTCACTCATACTAAGCGGAGATCAGGCGCGTAGATATTGGTGGACCGCCTAATAGACCCTATACTTAAATCATACTCATTTGCCGACATTTACCAAGCTTCGAAATTCAGCCTTCTGAACAGATACAAAAGTATGGTCCACTCCAAATATATGGCACTCCAATTATATGGCAAAACATTTACAGGTAACAGGAAATACGATACATTTCTTCAAAGGAGTTAAAGTACTGCATATCTACAGTTAATTTAGCCATGGGACACCAAAATTGTTTTTTTTTTAATTATTCAAGATACAGATATTAAATTGAAAACTTTAGTTTTCAAGTTGAAATTAACCTTGTAGTCATTATATGGGGGTTTATATATTATTTTCTGAAAGGTAAACAACCTCATACAAAACAAGTTAAAAGCATCACTAGTTTATAAGTTCGGGCTGAAGAAACAATTGTTTCACAAAAAAAAAATTTTTTTCATGAATGAACTAAGATTTTTCCAAAAAGCATCAAATTTTGTACAAATTAACCAATTAAATTAACTTTCTTAGTTCATTAGCTATTCAAAAAGACACAGATTGCAATGAAAAACGAAATAGTCATTTTTTTATACATAGTTAAAACTTTTAATGTAATAGGTACTATAGTAAATAATGATGTTTAGTTAAGGAATTACCACTTACAAACAATTGTTTTAGGGTTGTAAATGAGTAATAACTTAAGACGTAAATCATTTATTACTGGAGAATCATGAAATTGCATTATTTCAAAAGTCATAAAATTAACTCAGTATAACCAAGTTTCAGACATGGTGTCACATGAGTAAGTTAGCACTTTCTTCACTTTAACCCCTTGAAGAATTGTATTGTTGAAATCCTACTGGTAGACCACATCATGCACAACAAATGAAGGTCTGATAATAGTGATATGATGCAAATTGATTGAAATAAGCATAATATAGAAAAAAAATAACTAAAAGTGTTCCTATGACCTGTAAATCTTCTTTTGTGCAGAGCAATCTACTAATTCCAATGATGACCAAACATAAAAGGTAATAACTCATCTTATTTCAATAATAGTTAGGTGTAAAATATAATGCATTAGGTGTCCATCTCACTGACATTCAGCTATTACAAACACATACTATTCTAATTAAAAAAATTAAACTACATAAAACTTACTTTCACCTTGCCCAAGTATGTTGCATAATTTTTTATTTCTGCACTTCACAGTCAAAAGTTCCTGTTTGAGACTTGTAATTTCTTGTCTTAACAGCTCTATTTCTTTATCTTTTTTCTCAATTGTGTCTATAAACTGAACCCTTGTGATAATATCATCTGAAAGTGACTGCCGATGTCGAACTCTATCATTAATTTGTTCTTTAATTAGCTCATTCCTTGTATCATCTTTTACTCTTTCGAAGAATTCAGTGTCTTTTAAAGATACTTTAACTTCATCTACATCATTGCATTCTTCATTATCAACTATAGAAACAAAGAAATAGGTATCAATGCAAACATAACATGTAAACAATTTTAATGATATGCAATTTTTACATACATTTAGCAATGTCTTCCCCAGCATTCATCATGTCATTGAATTGGTCAAGACTCATTATAGTCTTTTTCTTTTGCTTTTTGTTGCTTGCACGAGAGTTTTGCTCCATTACTTTCTTCTCTATGTCTGCTTCTTTTTTCATTTGTTTGTAAACATCTTTCTTTTCTTCATAATCCAATTTAGACAAAAGTATAGCCTAAAGAAGTATAATGTAATCTTTTACTAAATACAACATTTAAATCATAAACGGAATGAGTAATCATTATAAAAACAAATTTATGAATACAAATCAATAAACATGTAGATTATTTACCTATGCTTCCATATATTACATCAGCTGATGAGGAATCAAGAAAAACAAAATAAACTAAAAAAATTCAGGATTTTAATAATTCCCTTACTAAGCTACATTTACGGTGAGTAAGAATGCCAATACTTTATGTTGAAAAAAAGGCATCACTAAAGGTCTTTTCTTGATTTCAGATCATAAAATAAATTATGGACACTGGTTTAAATGCTTTCATATAAAGAATTATAAAACTGCATTCTTTTGACTCTTTTGCTGCATTCCATTTAGATCGATTTACTTTATATTTAAACAGTAATATACAAAAAATAAGCTGGCAACTCAATTACAATAAATAGAAATATCAATCACAGTTATATGATATATGAGCTCACACAATTAAATAAAGAAAAAATAATTATACCTAACATTGAGATATGATTAGTAGTTATGAATCAATATGTATTACTGTCTATTTAAAACAAAATATATTTTGCAGAAAACTAGCAGACCAGCCAACTTCCTACCACCTCAGAATTAAATGTGTCAAATCAAACTATTTTTGAATGTCTGAAGTGTAAGAACAGTTTGTACAGAAAAAAAAATGTTGAATTTACTATAAATATTGAAATTTCTTCATGTTTAATCACCTTTACACCTTCTGTGGAGTCCTGCTAATATTTCAAAACCAAAATTAGCTAATTTTTTCTTTCAAATTACCTGTTGCAATTCACTTTCGAAATTTCCATCAACAAGTTCTGCATCCTTTTGCTTCCACAGTTCCCACTGATTAGAAGAACCTGCATTTTGTTTTGGCTTTTTTTTCTTGGTTGCGTTTTGCTATAGTGACAGTAAAAATACTAACATAAGTAGAATATTAACAAAAAGAAATGGCACTGAATATAATAAAATTACCTACATCTCTATAAAAAAATATGACAAAAGATGTACCTGAGTTTTGTTGTTATTAATTTTAGCTTTTTTCACCGGTTCACTTTTTTTTGTAGTGGCTGTTTTTGATTTCTTAGACTTTTGATTCTCACTAGTGGGTGGGTAATCGTCGTCCTCAATTTTTAATCCGGCAAAGCGCGATTGTACAACTAATGCAGCCATTTTCAGATTGACTTGTTGATACCAATTAAAAAAAACTGTAAATTTTTAATCATATTCTTTAATTATGTTAAATTTCTCATTCATATGTGTACAATAGTATCTAGTTGTTCCGATTTCTAAGCGAATTATCAATCAACACTAAAGGTTCTGAAATTGCGCATGATAATTTTTTAAAACGATATTTTAAATAGTCCAATCGATAGCTACTTAATTTTAAAATTACTTACACGCCAATAGTATCTATATAATTTATGTTTTATTGGTTTTATTTATTATTACAGTAAAAAATTGTATATGCCCACTAACCGAAATAAACAGATTTGTTTATTAAAGGCAAAAAAAATCTAACCCATGCAGCCTTATCTGAAATATGTATTTTTTTTTTATTATTGGTTTTAATACTTTATTTGTGTTACGCATTTAGGTAATGCGGAGAACCGAATCTCTGTGAATGTTATTGAAACTTTTGCTTAGTATTGGTATGTATCTTAGAAAATACATGTCGCAGCCAAGTGGTAAAATCAGTCGACCAATTAGACGGCTAGTCCTTTAATTAAATTAACGGTCTGACCTTTTATCAGCCTAATAACTGAACCCAAAATTTTACAACACGGCTGAACAATGGTCAGCGAACTAACTGTCAATTTATCTACATCTACACCAATATTATAAAGAGGTTTTCGGACACATGGTGTAAAAAAATCAACCAGAAAAGTTACTTATTTTGGGTACGCTGCCTAAACTATAAAAGATTGAAGCATACAATGTTGTAATTAATTGTAGATTTTATAAATATCTATAAAAACTCCACGACACACTATGCCTATCTATGTTGAGTGAGGCACAACAACTATTTTTTTATTTAAAAATCTTAATTTTTTTTTGGACGACACTTAAATGCTTTTGTTTTACTCATGCTATTAAATCCCTATCAAAATAATTTTCATCACTAAATACAGTTTGTGAAGATAATATTTGGTCTTTGAATGATTAATATTGGACGTTTGGATTTGAAGTAATGGTGAAATTAAAATATTACGATTTCTGCTGCACGGCCCGTTGCGAAGTAGGCGCAACCAAGAAGGGGGTGCGCGTGCGAGAGGGGAGTTTAGATCTATGAGTAAGGTACCAGCGGACCGCGCGGGCGAAGCCGCTGGCGGAAAGCTAGTCGGGAATATAGAAAATAATTGGTAGAATTAGAAGTGATTTTAAATAAAACTCAAAAACTCCTTGTTACGACCATACAGATACAGAACTGATCAAAAAGATAACAACAACCTGCTAATTCGCAACTGGATGTTAATGATCGGTATGATCCAATACAGAAAGCTAATATACACACCAATAACGCATGTAGGTTAAACTTAAACTTTCAATTTTTCTCATCCCTAGGGGTTCGGAACCACCATCCCAACGGGGGAAGAAGGCGGTGAATCTTTAATTGGATACCACACAGCCGGCTTTGAGGTTATGTCAGGCTCCTACGGACTAAACACTGCCTTGGCGCTTTCAACCACAACCGGGGAACCGGGGAACTTTCATACCAGATTCTTAATACTAATACAATGAATTTTCATAACAGATTCTTAAGAATAAAAAAAAGAAATCACTAAAAAGCACCTCAGTAGATACGACTCTAACAAAAGTTGATTTTTGCAGGAAACGAATGGAGCAAAGATAGTCATTTCCGTTCCTTTTAACTAACATATTAAAAAATAGAAATTTGCGAAGTTCGAAACTTATACAAATACGAAAAAGTATAAATATAATATGAGTTGTTTATTGAGTTTTGAAAATTAATTTCTTTTTATACATGAAAGGAAACCGGAAGGCTTGTCATGGATAAATCAAGAACGTACCGTAGCGACATCTAGTTTGATTTCTGGAACTAACGTTTTTCTAAGTACTGTCTCAATAAGGAACTTTATTTAATTATTTTATTTGAATGAGTAAGTATTTACAAAAAAAACGAAAGCACTTAAAAAGCACCTTCACTAGATGGCGACTCTAGCAAAAGTTAATTTAGCAGGAAACGAATGGACCAAAGACAGTCATTTCTGTTCCTTTTATCTAACATATTAAAAAACTGAAAATTGAAAAGTTTGAAACTTAAATATCAATACAAATACGACAAAGAACAAATAGAATATGAGTTGTTTATTGAGTTTTGAAAACTAATTTACTTTTAAACATGAAAGAACACCGGAAGGGTTGTCATGGAGAAATCAAGAACGTACCGTAGCGACATCTAGTTTGATTTCGGAAACTAATGTTTTTTTAGATACTTCCTCATTTTGTTTTGGAATCATAGATTATGATGATTAAGAATGAGGAAGTATTTAAAAAATAAAAATTGGTTCTTGAAATCATACTAGATGTCACTGGCGATGTTTGGGTTTTGTTTATGATATTTATTCAAATTTTGTTTCTGACGTAATAAAAGTAAATTGAGTATCGAAAATTAATAAATATGACATCGTTTTGTGTTTCTTATTTTATCTAACTTTCAAATTAATTTTTATTTATTTTTATCTTAAATTTAAGTTGTTTATTATGTTACGTGTAAAGGAACGAGGTTTGGTTGATACGTCAACATTAGTGATGAGCCAACTTATTGGTTGCTCGTAACTTTCATCCGAATTCAGGTTTGGAATGAAGAACAAAAAGCGGAACGCAGAATTCAGCTTGTATTTGTATGTGTCATTATGCATTTACAAAACGAATAATATTAATATAAATATCAAAATCAATTCAGTCTAGGCTGTTACATAGTACTTGTTATCAAAGAAATGATAAAGCTCGGATTGAAAGTATAAAATACGAGTATAATAGCAAAACATTAAGACACATACAAACAGGAATGACAGACACGTCAAGTAGATACAAAACACACAAAACACTAAAGAGATCGAAAAACTACCAAGAAGTCTTCTCTTCTTAACATCCCGTCTCGTTTTTCAAACCTATTTGAAAGCAAAGTTCTTTCAGTCTTGGCGTTATCAAGATAAAGTTCTGATGAGACTTCTCCAGCTATCATGAACTTCATAATCTTTTTTAGCCATATTAGCTCTCTGACCGTTTCACTGGCAGCAACTATCTCTGCCTCTGTGGAGGAAATCGCGAAGGTCCTCTGTCTTTTGCTCTGCCAAGCTATGGCCCCTTTCGAATAAAGGCAGACCATTCCAGATGTAGATTGTCCTGTAGTGAGATCTCCCCCTTGATCTGCATCGCTGTAAGTTTGTATGCATTTTGACGCGGTGGAAGATTGGTATCTTATACCATTATTGACTGTCCCTTTAATGTAGCGAAAGATTCTCTTCACCTTGGCGACATCATCTGGTACATAGCGCACCAACTGCCTGTCTGTATGGAAATGGTGCTGCTTCCTTCTCTTTTTCGGTTATTTGAATATCTTTAACTATAGGAGTTACTGCAGCCTTACAGTTTTGCATATCAAATCTCTCCAACAGACGTCTCGAATATCCTTTTTGATTGATTTCGATAGATCCACCAGTTTCCCTCTTAATCTCTATACCCATAAAATACGAGCCAGGTTGAGTGGTAATTTTAAAACACTGTCTTAACTCGCTCAAAAACTTTTCCGTTTCATTTGGGTTTGTAGACGCTATCAATCCATCGTCTACAAATAATGCAAGGATTATTTTCTTTTCTTCAATATTTCTAATGAAGAGGCATGGATCACTGTCGCACTGCTTGAATCCTATCTTCAAGATATATTGTGTGATGCAGTGGCAGATCTACCAAATCCCATGTCTGGTTTTCTCTAAGAGAGTTAATCTCACTCTCCATAGCTACTCGCCACTTATCTGACTCGGCACTTTCAATTGCTTCTTTGAAACTTTTAGGTTCTGACAGTGGATCAACAGATGAAGATTGTACGTTACAAACATTGCAGACATAATCACGATATCGATTTGGCGGTCTGAAATTGCTGCGATTACATAGTGTCATTCTGCCCTTCATTCTCTACGTCGCTCACAGAGAGTAGAGCGTCATCAGCTTCGTCGTCTGTATCTTGAGCATCAATGGAGTGTCCTTTTATAGGATCAGTAATCGACTCCTCTTCAGCTTCGTGATACTCCATCTCAGTTTTTTTTTCATTTATTATTGTATCCACAAAAAAGTTTACATATTTAATTCTTACAACATTGTAATAAACCACTGAGGTTCGTCTACAATATCAATATTTCGCATAAAGCAAACAAATAGTTTACAATTTACATAAATACTTGTTCAATAATATTCTAAAATTTTTATATTCAATAAAGAAAACAATTAACGAAAAAAATATTAAAAAATATAAGAATCAGGCAGGTGTTTATTGTTTTATAATCGATGTACCTAACTCGAACATAGCTATTCCAAAAAGTGATGTTTAAGTTTTATTTTAATATTTTTTTGTGTTAAAGTATTTTTCAAAGAGGCGGGTAGTTGATTAATTAATCTTGGTATCAGATATTGTGTAGTTCTTCTACCGATTTGATTATCGCTATTGTTTTCGTCATTCACTAAAACTTCTAACAGTTCTCCAATTTCAGGTTCGTCATTAGCTCTACTGTTAGCAATATCTTCACAAGTTCCATACTTAATTCCTAGAAACTCAAGATTTAAACCTTGTTGTGTTTGCTTGCAATCATCTGGAAAAATTACAGACATTACAGGCTCAGGTAGACATTTGGTCTCTGGTTTGTCCTCTTCCAAGCATTTAACTTCTCTGAGCAAGGGGTATTCCTCGAATATAACATCTCGTGACCTTATCAATTTAATATTGTCACTGTCCCAAATGCGATAACCTTCGTCGCCGTTATATCCAATTAGGATCCCTTTTGAGCCTTTTTGTCCAATTTTCGACGTTTTTCTTTTGCAATATGAGGATAACAGGTTGTTCCAATCACTCTTAAGTGGCTTACTCTTGGCTTTTTGCCATGCCATGATTCATACGGCGATTTTCCATTGTGTCCCGGGCTGTTCAAAATATATACCGAGGTTAGAATCAGTTCCACCTATAAGCCTGCTGGTAAGTCCTCATGTCATGAGCGTACATCATGGCTCTTGCCATCTCCACAACTGTTCTATTTTCTCTTTCAGTGGGGTTTTGTTGCGGTGTATGAGGCGTCGTAAATCTTTATTTGATGCCTTTCTTCTCTAAAATAGTCCGAACTTTGCTATTATCAAACTTTCCTCCGTTGTCGCTTAAAATTTCTTTCACCTTCACACCAGCTGTTTCAACTTCAGCTAGCCTTAGTGGTAATTTTTGATGGACTTCTGACTTTTCATGCATTACATATACCCAACGGTATCTAGTATGGACATCCTTGAAAAGCACGAAATAACAATTCTTCGCAAAAGATACAGGGAAAGGTCCACAAACGTCTGTACAAATCACTTCCCCAGTTCGAGTCGCCTTTTCTCTGGTTCCGAACTTCAAGCGATGAGACTTGCCGTAAATACAGCCTTCACAAAGCTAGTGATTTGCTTCCGCTTTAATGTTAAGCTCTTTTTCTAAACAATTTCTTGACGTGCGTTTTATTTTGATGGCCTAAACGTTCATGATACAGCTGTAGTAAATTTGGGGTAGTCAATTGGTTCACTATCATTGATGGCTTCAGACATCTCATTTTTAAACAGTAGAGATTGCCCCCTTTCTCTCGAGTGCCAACAAGTCGTTTCTCACCATCGACTTTCATAACGCATGTTGTCGGAGTTGATTCAAAGGTACTATTATCTGAGTTGTCATGGGCAGCTAGCACAGAAAAGAGATTTCTGCTGATAGAAGGCACATACCAGACATATTTTTTTTTTTTAATAATAGTATTCTTTTTTTTTTTGTTTACACCAATAATGCTTCTCCACTACTGCCTTCACCGTAGTTATTTGCCTCTTCTTTTGTAAGGATCTTCTCGTGTGAGCATAACTGCTGTTCTTTTAGAACAGACGTTTCTTGTTGATTGCTAAATGTTTATTAAGATGATTTAATTATTAATATAAGATTTAATAACTGATCATAGTTTTTTAAAGTCTTAATTTCGAAAGCACAAGTTATTGGCACATTACAATTTGCACAAATGTCATTTTAGCCAGAAGTCATGTTATTTTGTACGAATACCTAGTATATTTGATACATATCAGGTAAGTATATAGATAATAAACGGATTTTTTATTATAACTATCGTTTTTATGACTTTTGTTGCTGATTAATAAACCCTATTCATTCATTCACCATACAATATATAAAAATATTATTGAGACTTGATGTAGTTTTGTTTTTATAAGTTCAACAAATAACTAGTAGCAATAAAATTAACTAACCTAGTTTTTATTGTTTTCAAAACCTTTGTTAAATATTATAATGAAAAATTCCTAGACCTACTATGGCTTATGTTTTTTATTTATAAAAACTATTTGGCGGTAATATTATTGTATACCGTAGCTAAATGCCACTTTTAATTATATCACAGCATTAATTTCCATAAATTAAAAAAAAACACCTCTGTGCTCACCTCCATTAAGTTAGTTTCCATTTTCCTCTATAAAAATAAAAAAGAAATTTATCAAAATATTACTTTGGATTAATCGAGTTATCAGATCCATGACAACACTTACAATTCTATTCTCTTTGGTTTAACGTCATGAATTGACATTTAAATCCAACAATTTGTGCTGCCATCTAGTGATATAATTTTTTGTAGTTTTTTTTTTAATACTTCCTCATTAGAAAGTAGAAACTGATTTTTATTGTCATGATAAATTAATAATCTTATATTGATTGAATCCTTAACCATCTATAAGGAAGGCCTAAGCCCCTGCAGTAGGAAATTAACAGGGCTGATGATGATTGAACATAAAAAAGGCTTAGTTGCGATTTATAATGTAAAGAACGCTCAACGTTATATTACCGAAAAATAGGCTGAATGGACTATGTGCCTGTATCTCAAAAAAAAAAACATTTGACAGATATTTGTTTACCTAACTACAAATGGTGGCTTTTGAATAATTCGCTAATGAGAAATTTGTGGAAAGTTGAATTAAATATCTTGAGAGTCTGCATAAATATATAGTTGTGCGTTATTTTATGAAAATTGCTTTTTCATCATGAAGTTACAGTGTCAAGTGGAGGTCGTTAATAGATTGCATAGTAATTTGAATATCAAATCTAATGGACGATATGTGAAATCAACTTTAGCTTTAGCAAAACAACCAAAATTAAAGAAAGACCATGGAACGGAATATGTTATAATACACTTTTCTACTATCAATAAAACAGGTATTAAATATAAAGTCTCATTTGTCAAACAAGTATTTGTCAAATGTATTGATAAAGGTCTAAGTACTTTAAGGTTTGAAGAACCACCTGTAGACTTGTGTATTAAAAGTGAAGCCACACAGCTGAAGTGCTTCCTGAGATTATTGAAATCTTGTCTAACAGGCAATTGTGAGAATATCAACCTTGCTAATATATCAAACATAAGTGTTACCCATAAAGACATAGCACCAACCAAAATGATAGTAAAAGATCGAAGTCAATTCCCAGATAAAGGTTTACCGAGAACTTTAGAATCACTCCATATAATCGGTCTTAAACTGCATAACTTTCGCAGAGACATATTGCTTCTTCGTAATCTTGTTGTTTTAGATCTCAGTGATAACGAAATTGAAAAAATTCCTCCAGAATTTGGTAAGCTTTGCAACTAACCTTCAACATTATATTTAAATTACTGAAGAATATATTAAAATTGTGATTCATCATATTTCAGGAAGAATGCCTAATCTTGCTGAGCTTATTCTGGTTAACAATTCTCTTGGTAATAACTCTGAAATAGATTGGAGGTGGTTGTTAGGCCCACAGGTAAGTAACTTTAGAACTACTTTAAATCAAAATATGTTACAAATTCTATGAGTGCTCTCTCGCTTGGAGCATTTGCTTTTAATGTAATACAACAGATTCAGTTTTGAGCTTTTCCTTTTTTTTAATGAGCGTAACAGCTCTGGGTCCAAGTCCTTTTGAGTCATACATTGTATTGAGCATTTGTTTGTACTTCAGTGTTGCCACAAGTCATCTATTGATTTGTCATATATGAGAGACCAAATTGCCAAACCTTTTTTTATTCTTATCTAACTTCATAAAAAGGATATTATCAATTTTACAAATTTTATTTTATCATGTTTATGTTCGTCCAAGTATTTCTCACAAATTAGACATTAGAAAACAATAATTCTTTTTATTTTTTAGCTTCCAACTTAGGAAAACCATAAACTTCACAAAATATTCTAAAATGAAGGAATTTTAAGTACAAACTCTAAATTACCAATGAATGGTTGAATTCAATATTTATTTATCACTGTTATCAATGTTGATTACATTAAAAAATAAAAAAAGTTAATAGATTTCTCCCAATTCATTAGGTGCCTTTATTTGCATTTTAATAAATTTATCTGTCTCCCCATCATTTGTATTAAGTAGAAGTCTTGATTAATCATAAATAGCTTGCTTTTCTTTATATGTTAGTCCAAGTATTTCTCACAAATTAGACATTAGAAAACAATAATTCTTTTTATTTTTTAGTTTCAACTTAGGAAAACCATAAACTTCACTAAATATTCTAAAATGAAGGAATTTCAAGTACAAACTCTAAATTACCAAATAATGGTTGCATTCAATATTTATTTATCACTGTTATCAATGTTGATTACATTAAAAAATAAATAAAAAAATAGATTTCTCCCAATTCATTAGGTGCCTTTATTTGTATTTTAATAAATTTATCTGTCTCCCCATCATCTGTATTAAGTAGAAGTCTTGATTAATCATAAATAGCTTGCTTTTCTTCCTAGCTATATTATAGCTTGATTTTGAGAACTATTTTTTAAAGTCCATATACTAAATATCCTATTGCTATTTCATAGATTTAATATTCAGTAGGTGATGCATTAATTAATGCTCCCTCTGCCATATACAGTACTTTATAATTTTTAAGAACTTGATGGCCATATGAAACAGCAATTGTATTTAACATTCAGATATCACTAGCTGTTGTATCTAGTAAAATGAATGCTCAGATCTATTCCTTCACCAATATTATGCATAAGTCTGTAACAATACATTTAAATGCTCCAGGCTATTTTTGTTTCACTCTCTGATTTTTTTTTGTTTGTACATTGTTATAGATTATTAAGACATTAAAACTATTAGATTTAACTGGTAACAGGATTAAATCCTTACCAAAATCTATTTGGAAACTACAATGCTTGGTAACTTTGAAGATTGACAATAATAGTTTGAGAAAACTGCCATCTACACTTGGACGCATTGGATCATTGAGGTAATTTCTCTGAAATAAATAATATTCTGTTATAATTGTTACAAAACATACTTTTTTTGTAATTGAGACAGTGGCGTAGCTACTAAGGGGCTAGGTGGGGCAGTGCCCCGGGGCCCTCAAGCTCAGGGGGCCCTCGAATCTTTACCAGAAAATCTCAAACGAACTCAACTTTTGAAAATTTCTCCCATCTTCAAAATAAAAATGACAGGTGACAACTCGAGTTTAATTATGGAAACTCAGTTGTGAGTAATTCCAAAGTTATAATTAGATACCCTCCTTTGCGTCGCGCAGTCGGGTAAAAAGGGAATTCCCGTAAATTATTTGTGTGGGTTGACAGTGTTATTAATGTTTTCATCAATTTGTTTGATATCATTATCTGCATATTATTATTTATCGATATGCGTTTTTGTGATTCGCGATTGTGAACTTCGAGTCAAGATTTTTTTTCGAGAATGGTTAAAAAGTTATTGTATCAGGAGTAAGTAAGCGTATTTCAATCAATTTTATTTGATTGTAGTCCGTCAAACCGTCAAATGTGGTAACTCTGGCGGCGATAAAGTGTTTGCCGGGGATTCCCCAACGACGCCTCGTGTCGTATCATTTTCATTCATTCACGTTTCGCTTTCCTTTTACTTGTAGCGTTGTCAGTGAACAGTGTGTACCTACTTGAGTACAATCTTACATAAATATTGCATAAATAAATTAGAAAACTAATATAATGGACAAAAAAAAAGAAACCCGGAATGGTGCATTTAAACGCAAACAACGCCAAGAAAGAGGAGAAAGTAAACAAAAATTGCCCAAAATTGACAAGTTTTTTAGTCAGCCTTCTGCAAGTACTTCTGGATCAAATATTTCTATTGATAATTTTTGTAAATAGCTTGCATGGCGATAGGTTAAATAACAGTAAGGTGGTGCAACGTATCTACGATTAAATAAATATATAATAAACCCTTGAATCTTTTCTATTTCGTTTTATTGCCCAATACCTACACCAAGTATAAAAATAATTGTAATTTATGTTGTTAGTGTTTAATAGTTTTATTACCTGCCTATGCACGAAAAAGAGCTGATGATAAAGTTGTTTAGCATTTTTAAAGTATTTGTATATTTAATGATTTTACTTCAAAAACCTTACCAGTTTTGATAGAAGTGGGCCCCAATTTTTTTATTTGCCCCAGGGCCCTAGATTACCTAGCTACGCCACTGAATTGAGATACATATAAATTTAAGAAGTAGCTTGTTGTTGGTAATCTTACTGGTTTTGTCATAAATATCTCCTATTTTAATATAATATAATCATTTTTATTTTATAGATACTTAACCTTATCAAGAAATGAATTGGAAACACTGCCTTGTAGTCTGATGCAATGTCCCTTGGAGCATATAGATATATGTCATAACAAATTTCAATTGAGCAATAATTATATTGGCAACACTGAACACTCCCCATGGGAATTATATGTGGGAAGTCTTGTACATTTGACTTCTAAAATTGTTCTTAAAAATAAAATATTTTACACTCCTAATTTAATACCCTGGACATTAGTAGACTTTTTGGATGATTCAAACATGTGTGTATGTGGTGCCCCAGTAGTGAACGACAAAATTAATCTTCAAAAAGAATTTGACTTGAAAAGTTTTTTTAATGTTGTAGTCTTTGATAATTTCAGAAATAGCTCTGTTTGCTTTGAATGTTATTTTTGTTCACCAATATGTTATTCTAAAATTATCAAATTATTAAAATGAAATTGTAACCTTAATTATAAGATAGTGTTTCACTTATTTCAAGGTATTAAAGTTCACTAGATATTTAATTTTGCATTTGGGCGTACATAATGGTTCAGTTACACTGGTCGATGGGGTCAGCGCGCGGAGTGCGGCCTATTTCTGCGCGCTCATCTCATTGGTCAATAAAAAATGACCGACCAATGAAAGCGGGGAACCACTCCTTAACATACATTTTTTCCTCCGTGAAAACTTTTCGGTTTCGTTTGTTGTTGTTTCGGTCGTCAATGTTTTATGGATCACAACGGACATACTGCAGAGCATCAACCATAGGTTATAACAAAAATGATTCGAGTCGTGTTTCCACGCCTTGATTGCTGAACTGTATACTACTCATGATATTTCCTTTCTGCACTAATTTGTTTCAAATGTGTAATAATAATCCTAAAGTGAATAAATCTTAATCCTAAAGAGACATTATAATTAACTTTTTATTAACTTCATATTGATGTCTGAATTTTGTGATAAAGAATTTGCCTTATTCTTTATCTTTCTTATACTTGATTGTCGTTTTTGCAGTTTAATACAGGGAACCAACAAATTGATTTGACACTAATGTATTTTGTAAATTAATGAAATTATAAAGTTCTATAATTATGGTTAATAGGATGAAATGTAATTTATTTTTTACTGAAGCTTGAAAATCGACAATAAAAAAGCTTTTAATGAACTGATTTGCTTTTATTGTTATTAATTACAATTGCACCGTCTTATAGGAAAGATTTATTTTCAATTCAACCCCTCGAGTTTCCAGCTGACGTCATGAATTACTGGAGCGATTCGTATATGTGGATCTGAAAAAAATATACTGTTTAACCCAAGATATCGACGATGTACACGTCTGCACGTTAGGCAAACACAATAAGTCAAATTCCAAACTATTAATATTTCATTAAAGTTTGAAATCAAGCAGACATATGACAACTTTTGACGTGCTGTTGACTGTACTCACTGATAAAATGGATATGTGAACTACAGTTGTCTATCGGTAGTAGACTGAGGCTAATTTATCGATAGCTAACGTTATAACAATGGTATCGATCGATGATTACAAATAGTATTAGCTCTAGTATCGAAAAGACTAGGATACATTAAAGAGTAATAGTATCAATTGGGTATAGTAGAAAATTATTTAAATCAGTATCAATATTGACATAACTAGTGATCAAATATTTTTATTTTATCGATATACTTGAAATATATAAAAAAAATGTCTCATATATTAATTTAAAATCTAAAAATAAAATTCATGTTAAAAATTTCCCCCTAAAACGCTAACCTCTGTCATGGCGTCGATGTGACGTCACAACCGTCTGAAACTAAAATGCTTAAAAATCCACAATGCGCCAGGGCACATAAAGAATATTTTTCAGTATAGCATTTTGAATGCGATATTTGATCAAATAATTAGAACAAATTTACATATTTATCAAAAGTTTAAATATTTGTAAAATATTTCTTTCGACTGTTTGAGTAGATTGCCTGAACGTTGATGAAAATACGCTCTGTAGTTGCCAAAAAGCAACAAATGCTTGAAAAATTCGTTAGTCCTACTGGATCCGGGGTAGCTCAATGATTAGAGCAGTCTCCCGGATTGCGAAAGGCCATGGCTTCAAGTCTCATCTCAGAGTGTCGGAGACAAAGAAGATTTTTGAAGCATTTTTCATTAAGGATATTTTTAGCATAGCATTGTGAATAGAAAATTAATCAAATAATAAGAAAATTTTTCTTTATTTCCGTATACCTCAAAATTTACATATAAACTGATTTCTTTAACAAACTAAAAGTTATTAAATCATTGTAATAATATTTTGAGGATTATTCATAAATAATTTATTTCTTGCCTTTTCTGCTATCTATACTATTAATATTATAAATGTGAAAGTTTCTTTGTTTTGGTTGTTTGTCCGTCAATCACGCCGAAGCTACTGAACGGATCTTGATGAAATTGGTATACAGATAGGGTATTAGCTGACTTAGATAATTTTTATCCCAGTCAACATTTACCTGTGGACCACGCGGGCGAAGGCTAGTACTTCCTATTTTCCTATGACATCACGTCACGTGGTCACGTGGGTGTTATTTAGACGAGGTTCCAGCGCATTAACAATTAGTGGGATTCATACATATATGTATATATAATAGTTTCTTTTATTTAACACATTAAATATAATTATAGTATCACTAAAAACAAACGGTAGTATCAATACTATTATGATACAATACTACAGCTTCCAATCAATAGTATAGGCTAGATGAAAACTTTTTTATTTTATAAATAAATAGTCAAAAATATATCTTACAAATATAGTAGAAGTAACAGCATGTCTGGCATTAATAGTTTCGTAGATACGGTGCCATGTTTGTGGAACTGCTACAAGTCGGCCTAAAACGCTTCCTACAAATTCAAGGCAGTAAGTGACGTCATACGTCGCTACGGCAGCGACAAACGTATGGGCGTCGAATCAAATCAAAATAATATTATTTTGACTACTCTTTTCAAATTTTTAAAGTGAATTATTTTCCGAATTAGTATCATAAATATCTTAACATTTATTAATTAAAATATTTTCCGAAAATATAACAGAAACCTGTATTTTCACTTGCAGCATACAACCCTATTACTCAATTTGTGTTATTGATAACACAAATTATCGTACAATATCGATATTATTATTAATTTATAAAGGCAGCTATCGACAATGAACTATCGACGGTTATGCAACTCATGAAATCATTAATGCAGTAAATAGAATACATTTTTTTGAAAAAACCAATTTATGTGCTTGCCTAGAAAAATATAAGAAACTGTTTATAATACCTAACGTAGCAATGCCCTGTGGTATAACACTGCATCCTTCTGGAACATTTTGAGCTGCTATCACAGCATTTGTTGATTCTACTACTAGTTCATTAGTCCAAATAATTTTAAAACTGTCTTTCATTTCTTTCAAAAGTTTGTCCAAAGATGTCTGAAAAATAAACATTCAAATTGAAACATGGCAATAAATGGGACAATAATTTGAGATATGAGGCATCATGCATCATACACCCGTTATGAATTTCTTTTCTACATACTAAAAGTTCGGCAGTAGTTACAGTTCTACTAGCATGTTCTCATGAGCAAAGAACATTAGAAAGACTGGAAAGTTGGACCTGACGGAAGATGCGTGGCGTCTCATCGGTCGCGGAGTAAGAACAGACAAATTATATATGATATTCGACCTTGCATACACGACCGAAATTCCGTCGCTTGATATCGATTGATTGACTCTAATACCTAGTAACCTTCGCTCATTGAAGTATTTGCTTATAATAACTCTTAGTTATTGTTGTTTAAATTAATTATCTAACTTTTATATTGCTTATTTATTCGTTACAAAGACATTACTACTACTACAATATAACGTAACTTCTATCAGAGCTGGCGAAAATCTTGCGCCCGTACAACTGTTAGCAAAAGACGTTTAACGGGCGAAGAGTGATTTGCGATTCAAAGTGCATTTATAAACTATTCGAACAAAGATATCAAACTTTGACTCTTAAAGCAATACAGTAGCGTTTTTAACATGTGTGATCTTAGTCTTTACACGGATTCTTCATACCTGTAAAATGAATGCTTCTGTGTCCTTATTGAGTAAACCAAGTGCAATATTAACATTTTTCACTTGTAATCTCAAATCGAATGATGACGTCACTAAACTATGTAGGGCCATTATCAATGCGACATCTTCATACTGTGACCCTTCTTTGAGAGAGGCCACCTTGCGTTCATGTTTTCTTCTATTTTTACTAGAGCGGAAACTCCGACTGAAAAATTTAATATAATTAATATAAAACCGGTTCTGAAGGTTCTATATCTATAGGTTTTTTCGTTACAAATACATACATATACGTTTACAATTTACATACATATTTACAAAATCTCTTTACTAATCGACAAACAATGGCGTTAATAGGGATGTTTACTGAGTAAAAAAAGAGATATAATTAGTCCGTCAGTGAGATAATACAAGAAATTTAATGAGTTCAAGTTAATGAGTGGGGGCAACATTTTTTTCAAGTTATGACGACAACTATGAAAAAAATGTACAAAGGTGTGACGTCAATATTAAATTCTCCCCTTTTCGTCATAAATTCGGAGAAAAGGGGAGTGACCACCTAATTCTCTCGCTATAGCAATGGAATAAGGTGGGTGGACCATTGAAGGCCACCCTCCTTTGAGGGCGAACTATTAAAAAGTTGTAGTTATTGACATGTAAAGACAAATTTCTTCTACTACACACCAAGATCCATTAACTATTAAAAAGTCGTAGTTATTGCCATGTCATGCCATGAGTCAAAGCAGTAAAGATGTACAATAAATTGAAAATAAATTTATGTTCCACATATTTAATTGATGATTTTAATTATAATATTTTTGTTAAACCGATGAAATTTAATTATAATAGTTTTGTTAAACCGATGAAGACTCACGGTTCTAAACTTACTGGCAAAATTCGAGAAAGTTGCTGACAAAATGGATGTATATGCATATGGCCACCACAATATGTCAAATTTCTCCAGTTGATTTTAAACTCTACCCACACATAATTAAGAATTTGACATTTGACAGATTTCTACGGCGACTGTACCTTGAACCGCGTGACGATGAAGCCAGTGTACTGCCCGCATCTGAATAAAGATCACCGTCTTTATTATAATATGGAGAATCATAAATATCTGTAGGTTGCTTGCTCTTGTTCTCCTTGACCACATTAAGACGCTCCCTATATTTAATAAAAGTATTCCAATTGGATTCTATTAGGTCTCTTAAATTTTTGTAGTCTTCTAACACTGTTGGTTGTAGATATTTTTCTGCAATCACCAATAAAATTGAAATACAAATATAAACAAATATAGCAATTAAATTACTCATTTATAACTACAATATCAAGTGTTAATAATAGAAATTTTTCAAATACAGTAGACTTGGACATAGTTATGCAAACCAGATCCAACCCATGATCATAGTTTTGAGAAATATGGGTTTTAAATGAAATTTTGTATAGAAAAAATTTGTTTCTTGTTTTAAGTTTAATGTAATTAAATTGTATTTTCTTCTGATTATTAGTGACGAACCTTTACATTATATGAATTTAATTATAATATTATTTCTTATAAAAACCTTCCTGGATCTTTATTGCAAAATGTATTTGATTTGGATTGGATCTTTATTTTGATGAAGGGCAATGATATACTGACAAATGGTATTAATATAATTATAGAATCAATATAATGTGCAGTAATATACAATATTTATATGACTATATGTCATATACAAAAAATTGTGTTAATAACAATATTTCTTTTGATTGTAAAAAGGAGTTTTTTTTTTATTTTTTGCAAAATCAAGTAATGCAATCATGAACGTGCTTAGATGTTTTAAAAATTGGTTATTGCTAAAAAAACAGTCTTGTAAATAGATATATTTGCCCAGTTTTTAACTACTAAATCAAACTTTGAGCTTATATAGTCATCACTAAAAATGGTTAGACTTTATAAGCAAAGTCGTCTACTGTATGAGCATATAAACCTAATAACAAACCTTTTAATTCATCTCTATCATATTGTGAACAAAGTCTGTAAGCAGTTTTATATTGCCCACATTCTATTGCATAGGAAATTGACATGTCATTGTCCTTATAGTATTGTTCTAATATCTGTAAAGCTTCTTGGTGTCTCTTTTCTTCTTTAAGCGAATTGATAAGATCCCTTCAATAAAAAAATAACAAAGTATATATACAAATTAAAAGATAGACAATTTTTTAAAACAATTACTCTTAATGAAAAAAGCTTAAAAATCCATTTTGTCCCTGGCTCTAGCTTGGCTACAAAAAAAATTTTTTTAAGCATTTTTCATTAATAATATTTTTCAGTATAGTATTGTGAATGCGAAAATGATCAAATATAATAATAATAATTAATTATGTTAAAGCTTACCGGCAGAGTTCTATAAATTGTTCTGGTGACCATCTTTTATATGCTAATTTTACAGCCAGTTCCCATTCTAAAGCATCTTTATAACATTCAATAGCACTTTCGTAATTACCCGCTCTTTCAAATATTATGCCTGCTTCAGTATACTGTTTTTTTAAACGCAAATGGACCCCAAAATCATTTGATATTTCTTTATAAATATTGACATCAGGTGAAAACAGCTGCAATGCTTCTCTGTATAGGCTGTGGTACTTTACAAATGTTTTCAACTCATCATATTTCTCAGGTCCACATAACACAAGACTCTTGACTGCTTTATTGAATCTTTTTAAGTGCTTGTTAATGGAGAACTTTTTATAGTTTTCATCCATTTCATTCAATTCATTTAACATAGGTAAATACTCTTTTGGATCCTTTTGAGATTTATTTGCAACTAGCAAAACCAAATCAAAGTCATACATACCAAGAGCAACATCAAAAAGTTGATTAACATCAACCATGTAGAGTAAATACTTGAGGGCTTCATCAGACCCCACTGGTAACTTTGATCCACCAGATTCTTTTAATTTAAGTTGTTTAATGAGAAACAAAGCATTTTCTAGTTCAGTATCAACATTTTTTTTAACAAATGCTGTTAATATTGGTAATATTTTACTCTCACTATCACTTCTCTGATTCAAATGTAATTTCAAAATGTCACATATAGTTTGAACTTTGCTACTGGTGTGCAGCTTCACCTTATCTGTCTTACCAGCATAACTACTAGCATACATAGTAGATGTAACATCAACATCCTCTAAGTCAGACAGAAAGAGACTCAACCATGAATTATTCTTAACTGATTCTAAAAATACATCAACATTGTTGGTAAACTTTTCAGGGTTATGATCATAAATTAAATTCAAATTGATTCTCTGTTTTCTCATAATATCAAACGCTTCATGGTATCGCAATGCATCAAGATGTTCACCTATTATTTTCAAAGAAAGAGGTCTAGGTTGTATCGCTTCCAAGTTCCCTCTTGGCATCTGAAAGACTGTCCTGGTATCATTAGGCACAACAATTACTAGTTTAGCACCTCTTTCTATTTTTCTTTTGTAAATTTGTTCTGTAGACTCATTTTTAGCATATTCAGTTATAGAAAGAATCCCTGTATGGGTTAAGTCAGTGCATAGTAGAAAATGTTGCAGTGTGGTTAAAAGAAGAAAATGTGTGTGAACAAAATAAGAATTGACACTGTTCAAAATCATAGTGTCATTTAAAAATAAATTATTTTTATGTGATAGGCCTATGTAGTACAATGTTTCATCTATCATGATAATGTTGAACTTTGGACATGAAACACCAAAAGATATCTCTTGTGATTCTGCCAAGCCACCTTCATAGTATTTAATGATTTCACCCTTGTTTGTTTGCAGAAACAATATTGAGGAATCATTAGGATGTGCCTGAATTCTAGTTACAGACTTAAGCAATTCAGCAGAGTTAATTTGAGTGATATCTTCAGCTTCGATCCTATATTCAATGAGTTTATAATTGCCATTGTTATCTAATGTTATACAAACAATAGTGTAGGAATTCATCCAAAACCAATTATGATATTGAAATGGAAACTTATTCTCAACAACACTTATAGTTTTTATCCAAGAATACTCCAAAGGAAACTTATTTTTTTGATTATAAAATATTAACTTGTTATTAGGTGTAACAGCAAAAAACATATTGGAACATTTTCCATGAATATCAGGTGGGGCAAAATGCACTGAATTTATAGGAAAATCACATGTTACTTCTGCTGCAGCCATGGGTGGTGGTATAACGGTCTGCCTAAAACCAGTCAGCAAAATCTTTGCACCATCAATAACTGAAACCACTGCATCATCATCATTTGTATGGCCTCTACTATGATCAATATTCCTTATCCATGAATAGCAGTAATGTACTCCACTGTCTAAAAATACATGTAACTTTTTATTATTAGTTATATCAAAGTCATTATCCCATATTATTCTATTTATTTTCTGTTCACAATTATAAACCAATGTCTGTTTATGATACCAATGGTGATTACTACATGTAAACAATAATAACTTCTGTGAATCTGTTACAATATTTCTACATTGTAATGTAAGTATTTCAGAATCTGTACTCCATGCTATATCTTCAACAGTTGTGTCAGAACTAACTGGTATGGGGAATCCTCCATGTTTTAAACCATTCTTCTCAAAGAAATCTATGAAATAATGTTCATTGGTTTTCCGTGTTGTTGCAATTAGGTTCCCGCTTGGACGCCATGAAAGATTTGATTCCAGACCTCGTACTATTTCACTTGTGTATTGTAAATGACCTTCTCTATCAAATACTTTAAATCTTCTAAGGCCATTTTCCATATTAAAACCAACTGCATACAAATTGCCATCTCCCCTCCATGATATTTTAATTGGTTTTTCAATACTGTCATCAATATCAGCTAATAAATCTGGAAATAAAATCCTCCCAAAATTTTACACAGTAATACATTATATACCTCATTTGAAGTTAAAAAGATTGATAAAATGAAATCTATTAATTAATATGAAGTAATAATAGGTACATAACACAAAGATAATTATAATGATACTATACTTTATTTTAAAACGAGAGAGGTGATCACATACAGATTATTTTACATCTTGCAAATTTATGACAGGCGACATTAGTATTCAGATAATTTGATGCATACATTAGCGCAATGGTTTATAAGTTTCCTCTTTGTATTTGAAAGTGATATATGTGTGTCACTTTTATAACAACTACACATACTACATTAATGTTTTCAAAACTTACCAGCGCTAGTCTCAGTTTTAACTCTTGCTGCTTTTCCTTCAGAGCCGTGAAACTGTGTTTCTTTTTTCCCCCAACCTACTGTAATAAACTGTTTTTCACCAAAGTTCTGCCCCAAAAGATTTTCTTCATTGATAGGATCATATGTACAGGACATCAAAATTGTATTCAATTCCTTTGTAACTAGCACAAGCAATTCTTGATCAGGACTCCATTCCATAGCCTGTAATGCATTTTTAGGGTTTTTACAAACATGAACCAATTTGAACAAAGTGGTCTAAACAAATTAAACTTTATTCTCTCACCAAGATTCCCTTTTCACAAACACCTGCTAGGTCACAAACTTGACCAGATTCGGCTACAGTAATTATTTCACCATTTTCCAATCCGACGCACAAAGTATTCAAAAGTGAAAGATACGTCACATTTATGGGTCTGTTATCAGAAACCTTCAAAATTATTTCAGATAGGTCTTTGGTCCAGTTAATGTTTCCATTATCACGGAAACTTGAAAGAATAAGGTTATGTGAACATATATACAGCTCACCACTATTTGACTCATTGTGAGTGTAACATATTGCTGAAAATTCATTAGAATCACTGTTAAATTTATTCGTTACCACTTCAGAAATGATCAAATTTCTCATTTTTAGTCAGTAGTAGTGGTTTGTTTCGTCCCTAGGACAGGAGATGATAGATTCAACTTTCAACAATGCTTTTTGGTGAATGCTTTATTTACAAAATTATTATAAAAAAAAATTTATACCGGCCCTGGCTTCAATGGCCTCAGCCCAAAATTATTAGAGATTAGAGAAAGACGCACAACTTCTTCTTCTTCTTCTTAACTTTAATGACACTTTACGTCACCACATTACTGCCAACTTCACGTAGGAGACCATTACACGATTTAAATACATTAATTCAACAAAACAATTTTGAATTACCAATTCTATCTTTCTTAGGCGCCTACTACACTACCCAATCTATCGGGCCCGATCCATCGGATACACTGTAAATTGGGTAGTCTAATCGCAGTTAGAGAGTTAGGGTCCCGATATCGGGTGAACGTGGGCGCCCGATCGCCCGATGAGAGTTAGGGCCGATTTATCGGGTAATGTGATTGCTGTTAGGGTGTTAGAGCGCTCAGTCGGTTGTTGCGCAGCGTGCTTGTGAGACGTCAGTGAACGACAACGAAATTTGCGAACAGACAAAAATGTCTTCTTAAAAGGAAAAGAAATAATATTATTACTTTTTCTTATATATATATATATATATATCAATATGATATAATGTTTTAAACATTTCTAGATAGCCTTTGCATGTGTCTGGTACAATTATAAATTTTATGTAAATTACAATAATAAAAACTAATGCTATAATAAACTTTATATTATTGTTGTCCCGATAGGGTCCATAGTGAGACTAACTTAATTATGTAATATTATTTTAAAATACATATGGAAACAATAAACTTATTGAGTATTTATACTTTAAGTCATGATATGCATTTCCCGTTGCTAAAAATTTTAAGGTTACAGCACAGCTAACCGCTGTTTTGCGCTATATAAGGTATGACATAACAAAAATTTATGTCACTAGATGGCAGGAAAATTGTAGATTCTAAACGTCAATGACCTTTCGTTGGACTCCTGGCTGGCTATGTTATGACATCTAAATTTTCCCGGAATCTCTACCGATCATTGATGTTATTCGCTATTTTATGTTTCATAAACTTTTCGACAATTAAGTTTAATATATGATCAAATTGTGCAGAACTCATTCTGTAGTAGTTCAAATTGCATAGTTGGTCTCTTAGAAGCAAATATTTTCACCCAACATTTTGTTTTATTATTTACGCCCGCAGTTCAAGTATGGGCTATGCCAATTTTTTGGTACTTTGTGAGCGAAGGAGCCATCCTTTCAACGCCACGTTTGCATTCCAACTGAGTTAGGGAGGCGATCTAGTGCAGTGTAATCACAACGACACCAACCGCCCTAAATCGCGGCCGATATATCGTGCCCGATAGATTGGGTAGTGTAATAGGCGCCTTATACTCCTGAGAGACATCAATTTCACAAACTACATAGATCTACAACCAACAATAGCGATTGACTTGCCCCACCGATTGGTATTTTTTTCACTCGAGTTAGTTTGAAATTTTGTTTGCCAAAAAAAAATAAAGAAACAAAAAATAAAGAAACAAAAATTTATGTCACTAGATGGCAGGAAAATTGTAGATTCTAAACGTCAATGACCTTTCGTTGGACTCCTGGGTGGCTATGTTATGACATCTAAATTTTCCCGGAATCTCTACCGATCATTGATGTTTTTCGCTATTTTGTGTTTCATAAACTTTTCGACAATTGGTACTAATAGTATAGTTTTACACGTCACTAATTGCATAGGACTTGAAACTTTATTTATATATCAGAAATAAGATTGTACATTAAATATACTCTGAAATCCAATCCAATGTAACAAAAAACTTAAACAAAAGGCAATTACTACATATTAAGCAATAACTACAATTTAATAAAATCTATAATAAAAAATGGTACGCAAATATTATAATCAGAAGGCAGATACATAGCTGCAAATTAATAAAAATTATTAACTTTTTACCGTCGTCATGTCAATCTCATTAATCAATAATCCAGACTTGCAATTTAATTTGTTGAATTATTATTAAAACCTATAAATTGTAAAATTATATTCCACTATAGACCGTTTCTCATAGAATGGATACGATGATATTTGTTAACAGTTGATGAATAAATATTATTCTCAAATCCTGTTTTATATGTTGATCTCAAAACCGTTTATCTCTATTAGAAATAAACTCAATAACATCGAGTTTTTGTATCTAAAAACTTCAAACCCCAAACATCACCCATGCTATGTGAATAAGACACAGTAATTTTTTTTCTAAATTTCCCCATTTTTGAGGTAAATGGCATCCTCAAAAAATGGCAGCCTCGTGTGAGTCAATATGGCGAATGACAATTACTAATTTCGTCAACTCGAAAATTGTGATTCATATATAAACGTTTCTCGCTATCAAATCGTGAAAAATGGTTCAGAAATGTGTAGTCCTAGGTTGCGGAAGCAAATGGCATCCTGGATGTTCTTTGATATTTCACAGGTGAGTCGTAAGTTACTATAATTGATGACTGCTTGCATTTTATAAAAATAATGTTTTTAACGTAGAATCCTTCAATTTTTGATAATTTACAATAATATGGTATCTAAAGTAATATATGATTTAATTGTTTACAGTAGCATATTTCAGAAATTTTCTAATAAAAGCATAGTTCACATTGCAAAATAAAAATAAACAAACACTAATATGGTGACCATGAAAAGAAGATAAAGGATAAACAATAAAACTGAACTTAATATTTTTTATTTCACTTTTAGTTTTCCCAAGGATCTAATAAGGAGAAGTCAATGGCTATCGAGTGTCAAATAAAAAATAAGTTTTATAAAGTGCAAAAATATGCAATAATCATTTTGTGGCTACAGATTATATAATAGAGAATCGGTTAAAGCATACAACAATTCCTTTTTTTTTGATGTGGTAAGTAAAAGTCTATATTCTACTAATTAGGTACTAATTCTTAGGTAGCAAAAATAGAATACAAACTTCCGAGTGAGAACGCGAACTTGTGGCTCGACGTCCTTTTTAAGTACGCGTATTTAAGATGACACACAAGCGAAAAAGGTCGTCGAGCCACAAGTTTACGTTTGGAAGGAATAAAATATTTTTATTTTACTTAATGTAATATGTTATGAAAAAATGGTCTTGAAATATCTTAATTCCATAATGGTGAAATGCCTAATTTAATGTAATTATTGTTAATATATATTGTTATAAGTTTCTTGACATGTAATTTCTAATATTATTTAATTTTGGGTATTTGTATTTTTTTGCAATCTTCCATAATTATATTGTATTGTAACATTGCCATGCCCTTACAGGGCGTCACATGTACACGAGCAACAAAATAATTACTATCTTATAATTTTAAATGTGACATGCAATAAATGATTTGATTTGGAAGGAAGGTAAGCTGACAATCGTAGTCTGCAGTCTTGTAGTTCACTTTGCATATTAGATCTACTCCGTGCTTTGGAAGGCACGTTAAGCAGTTTGTCCCGATTGTATCTGCAGTTATAAATACCCTCCAATCCGAAATGGAGCCATCGTGGGTACATTAATAGGCTGGTGATTATAAAGAAGAGTTGTTGCCAACTCAAATTCCCACACTGCTAAGTTTTTATCAAACTCAAAAAATGATATTTTTTTATTTAAGAACCCCCTAACGAGACTCATCAAATACTATTATACGTACGACACAGTTAGGCTAGCAAAACTTTATTAAATTTCCTCATTTGTCCCCCGAAAATAACCCTTATTTATAAAAACAAATTTAATTATTTTGTATATCTGTGTTTAGGTCAAAGGATGACAAATTTTACAAGATTTGGTCCAGTAGATTCGGAAAAAAGGCTTTTTGTACGGAACTTTAATAAAGTCAATTATATATTTGACGGAGGATCTAGATTAGATCTATTAATGTCATGTGTAAACTTTACATCTACCTAGGAAAAATTGATAATTTTTTGCCTTAATTTTCTATTCTTTAAACTTGTCTCCTTTATTTTGTAGTTGTGTGGACACCCTATTAGAAAGAGAGGAGGGGGACCTAAGGAATGAAATAGAAAACATTCAAGGTCAAATTTTTATGCTTCAAGTAGGTATGGAGGAGTTTGGTCTCCAGTTATATCTTTAGCTTCATGGTAAACATTTTGCCTTCGGTAGAGATGGACGTTTAAACGAAAAGCACTTAATTAAGCATGCTTTTTTGAATAAGTGCAATAGTGGATTTTCACTAACGAACTTCCGACCGTTAAACTAATACAGGGAGCAACAAAACGACTGACACAGCCGAAAGTTTCAAGTTAGGTTATATACTAATGTTCGTTTTATTTGACAAATATTTCAAAATACAGGAGGTGTAAAAATGGAGTAAAAATTTTAAATTTCTAAGTGTTGAGAGCCCTATAACGCGCATGCGCAATATCGATTGTGCGCAGAGAACAACGGACCGCGAAATACATTAATTTAATTTAATTATTTACCGATATCTTAATGTTAGTCGATGTAGAAAATATGCAATTCTTCTCTGAAGACAGCTAAGCACGCTCTTTTGCATGCCAGTGCATGCACGCGCAAAACACATCACATTTCACACAAAACTAAACACAATCTTCACTAAACTAACCTTAACACTCGAGACGAACACTGTAGTATCTTATTAACAAAAATTTAATTGAAAATGCACTATAACAAAACAAAAATCGACAAAAAGTCGCTTCGAAGCGGTAAGGTGACAGTGATGTAATAACGTGCCTCTCGCGCAAATGTCCGGCGGTGACTGAAACAAAGGCGCCGACGCCGATGGAACAAAAAAGTCGCGCGCACGGTGAGTGAATGGAGTGAAGGAGACCGGTTCGCTTTGCTTTTGATAACTAGGGACGAATTCAGTTTATCTATTTTTCGAATTCGTATTTTGTTACCACGCAATGAGGAAGTATTTAAAAAAAATAAAGAAACTACAAAAAATTATGTTACTAGATGGCAGCACAAATTGTTGGATCTAAACGTCAATTCATGACGTTTAACCAAAGAGAATAGATTTGTTAGTGTTGTTATGGATCTGATAA